TGGCTCCAGTGGTTTTATAGCAGAAGGTTATATTTTCTATGTTTTTTTTTTATTTTTAGCATTTTATTAATAAAGCCTCTTTCATACTCAGAGGTGGATCCAAGGTTCTGCACAGGCATTAAAAACAGAGAAAGAATCAAAAGACCATTAAAAAATGAAAGCAACAAATTTCAAGCCAAATGAAAAAGATAAAAAAAAACTAGAAGTGAAAGAAATTAAAAGGATAAATCTCTTTTTTTTTAATAAATTGAAAGAGAAAATGAATATGAATGAAATAGATTGAGCTGTGTAGAAAACCAAGAATAAATAAAATACAACGCTGGTAAATAGCTGAGTAAAAACTAAACTAAACTAAAGATGTCAAATCGGCGCCCGCATCTCGCAAGAGCTCAATTCAGATCAACTCAATACAAAATTTATGAAAGATTTAAAGCACTGCGAACTTTATTCTGTTATTATTATTATTATTCTGTGTGGTTCATGATCTCTCTCTCTCTCTCTCTCTCTCTCTCTCTCTCTCAGTCAAAATAGTCGATCACGACATTAACACACGACAGCTTTGATAAATCGCTTCATTCGTTTTCCAGGTACAGAACAAAAACCGTTTCAAAGCTATGCAAATGAAAGACTTTGAGTTTTTTTTTTTGGAGCCGTTTCAAACAGGCGATAATGATTCATCCCATATTGTTTTTTTTCAGGTTTTATTCAATGCAGCTTTTACATCCAGTTAAAATCAGTTCTATTGTGTCCTTATTTGCACTCTCGTCATTTATCCGAACACTTCATCGTCCCGCTCAAACAAATAAAAAGCATTCAGTGAAAACCCATCATGTTCGTCCCTTTAACTTCCCGCTGACTTCACTCTGAGAGAAGCTCCCTGCGCAGACGGCCGACGCTCTTTCAGGACGGACATGTTGGAGCTTTCAAAGATCCATTTTCAAAGAAATGCAATTTAAATTTTATTTCTTTGACTTTTCTGTTCTTTGAAATATTAACAAGAAGAGGAAAATAAAATATTTAAACCCTATAGCCCTGCAAGAATATTGAAACCAATTTGAGAGAAAACATCACTTTTCTATCCTGACCTATATAAACACCTGTTTGTCTTTTATTTAAGAGTTGTCGACAGTGATGGAAGAAGCTTTTAAACCCTTCACTAAAGTAAAAGTATAAATAGCACATTGTAAAAGCTTCTCCATTACCAGGCACAGTCATATATTCATAATTCAATACCGTGTATAATCAGCGAGGTGTAGTTATAGATGTAGAATGGCTCCCACAGCTGTATATGATTAAATATATTATAATATTGCGACGCTATTATACAGAGTAATGAGTGAACGGGATGTTTATGTTGCATTTGGTCAAACTGGGGAAAAGTTTTTGTGTTGTTTATTGATCAAGATGCATTTAGTTTTTAAGGCGTATGATATATTTCAACTGGAAAAAACATACATGAGGTGTTGCATTTTTTATTTCATACATTATATATATTTTTTACAAAGTAATCAGTAATTCATAAAGGAATAAATAGTTCAATGTGTCCCTGTGACATGTAAATAGAGTACGTTTTCTCCTTTAAGCCAGTTATGTGAGTTGTTTTTCATCATACAGGGTTTGATCCACCCGCTGTAGAGGATCAGATCAGCCTGAGAAGCCGCTCTACCCATTTCTCTACCTCATCGCCTGTTCTATTTTTATAAAATCCCTTTGGCATTTTTTCATATTCAACTGTTTGTACATTTCCTGAGACTCGATATCGGAGCGGAAGCTCAGGCTCCCTGGCATCAGGCGAGCCGTGTTTACTTGGCTCGGACGTGTGTAGTCAGCTTCAGGTGCGACGACGGCTCCGCCGCTGGAGCTTAAAATACCCGGCCCGATGTGTGGCACGAAAAGCACTTTGTTGTGATAATTGATTTCTTTGTGGAGGAGCCTGTGTTTCGTGCAGTCGTGTAAAGGCGGACGCGCTAATGAGCAGAGAGGAAAGCATTGGAAGAAAGCGTCTGCGTGTACAGTACGGCTCCGTCGATTCCGAACCCTGAAGAGTTGACAGGGTCGGATTCTAGGATCTCGTCTTATACCACCTTAAAGTGAAACCTGTGGCCAGGCCGTATTTCTCTTTATCAGATTGTGATGTTGGTGAAATCAAAAGATGAAACAAGTTTTCATTCCGCGTGTCGCTGTGTGTATTTCTTTTATTTTTTAAGTATGAACATCTAACAGACTGAAGAGCAGAATGAAAGCTCACCCTGAATCTGAGCATGTTTGCAGTCATTCATTGGGGAGTGAATGGCAAGAAGAGAGTGTCTATTAATTTTGAAATGAAAGGACATTGGACGGTACAAGGATATTGCAGAGAAGAAAGTATTAAAGGATGAAGCTCGCAATATTTCCAATAAATCCTGAGAAAAGACCAACGCCGACGTAGACTTGATCCGTCCATAACTGTCTGTGTAAGCAAATCTGATGTAATGTTGCTCCTCTGAGCCACAGAATTCAAATACTTAAAAAATAAAAAGGACTTTAGATAAAAACGAGCGCTCTTCACTGAGGCTGAAATATCTCAGGTATATATACGGGTGTCGCCATCTTGCGTAAGTCAGTCTCAGCTGTCAATCATGACCTTTTACCAGGATTTCAAAGCATCAAATTACCAATTAAAACCAAATTTCCTGGAAAAGCCAGAGAAGCACCCCGAGAGGTCATTACTCCTCTACCAAGGCACCGTCTCCCATTAATTCTAGAGTATTTCTATTTCGACAGTTTCATTCTGATCCCAAACTAATTACAGTTCGTTGTTACCGTCCACGCAGACAGATCAGACCTCAAAGTTTTAGCTGCAGCTGTCAAACTCCTTATTCTATGTACCTGTCACTCAGAATGTTGGAGCTCCGCATGAAACTCTGCAGAGGAAATAAAAACCTGCACCTGAATGTAATTATTCCTCCATCAAGTTTTCTGGTAATCTGTCCCGTGGACGCATTCAACACTTGAACGTACATCGAAACCATTTTTCAAGATTTTTTTATTATCATTCGGAGCCAGTTGATCCAGAAATCTTTGGCTCATTTTAACTTTGGTCCAGGTCCCATCTGCCAACTTGGAGGAGGTGGGGATTATGACCTATTCTGAATGGCACGGTAGTTTTTGATTTTGCGCGTGTCCCACTTAAATTAAAAATATTCCCCGTCAATTTTACCATCAACTCTTCCCGGGGTTCCATTTTCTAAACAAGGTTTGTTATCAGACAATATAACTGATGATGTAATTGACAAACACAGTGTTGAGTGTGGTTGTTGATTTTTTAATGCGATGAGAGAATAGTCAACATGACACTTCTGTGCTGTCCGTCTGTCGGCCTAGAAAAACCTGGTTCCTAGCAGTGGGGGGGGGGGTGTTGCAGCTCTGTGTACTTAATGTATGATTCGGGGGAGATTAAGTGTTCCCACCCAGCCTGCAGTTATGTGCGGGCGTTGAGATTTACGTCAGGGTTCATTTGGAGTTTCAAGCCCCTGAGACCTGCAGACAAACGAGCCTCCGTCCGTCCTTCTCTGACTGACAGCCAGGCTTTAGCTCCACTGCAAGTCTGTGAACTACGACAACAACAACGGGGTCTGGGAGACGCACACTGCACGCACGTGGAGAAACTTTCTCTGCACGCGCTCAGCGAGTTGAGGCTCTGCTGTCAATTTGAGAACATGTGTTACACCATCAAAATATTGTTGGTGTGTTGAGCCCTGTTTACGCTGTCAAGGTCTCATTTGTTGTGTATGTTCGTGTCAAGTGTAGATGGAATGGAGGAGTGAGGCAATTGAACACGCTTTTGAGGTGTGGGCTTATATCAGAGAGGGTTTGTCAGCTCTTCAACCGCAGATGAATCGTTCAAGAGAGGATGGATACAGATTGGAAGGGAGATGAGAGGAGCGAGAGGTCTCCTTTAAGGATCAGAAGTAGAATCTGGGAGACTTTTGACAGATTAAAAGTGCTGCGCTTGCATAATGACTCCAGTGCTTGTCGTGGCGCGTTAAGACGCCATGCCAATGTTCTCATTTCCCCAAAGAACATCTGCAACTGCACTGCAGCTCAGCCATAATTTGAGTCTTGGACAAAACAGCTTGATCCACTTTAGTCACACTTGAAATCAGGATTAGAAGAATCTCTTGGCAAGCGATCTGAGAGCAGTCAAATCAGGTCAGCTGAAATTCACAGGGACGCCCAAAAGGAAAACGAGCTCACGCTGTCAGTTCTGCTGTGCTCTTGTCCGCCAGATGGATGGCCAATTTCCACTCCAGATGTGCTCAGAATCCGTCCGAACTCGAACTGGAGTGGCATCCAAAAAAACAAAAAGCCTCTGACACTCGAAAAGAGTGAACTACACGCTGATGGAGAGGGAGCAGGGATAATTGTAATCAGGCTGGTGCCAGTTTTCATTACGTCCCCAGATAGAGGCCGTGATGCAGCGTTGCACTCAAGTGAAGCCAAAAAGCAAAGAGGATGTTGTTGTGCGACTCGCCGCTTTTATTGCGGGCGGGTTTGGTCAGAGGAAGATGAGGCTGACAGCTTTAGATCACTGGAGTCTTAATCTGCTGCTGCCTGTTGGACGTGATGTAATCTCAGAGTGCAGGATTAAAACGAACACACACACGCTCACAAAAGGAGTCATAGCGTTTTGTGTGGGGTTTTCAGGGGTCAGTGCACGGGTTAATAGACTGTTTGAGGCATCTGAGAACTGGATAAGTGAGGCTGCCCTGTTATTTATTTTCCCCCTGGTTCTTTGCTTCAAAACTCCTCGACCGACAGGTAAAAGGAGAGCGCCGACTCAACTTCTCCCAAGATGCATTTTCTATTATTTACCATCAGCTGAAAATAGTCAAAGCACGACAGGCAGCGAGAGCCCTTCAGACCCATCTTCATCATAATCAGATCTGCATGTGAAATACAATTGCAACAATAAATGTTTGGAAGTTAATGGTTTCTGCTCTCTTTTTGTTTTCTTCCAGATAACTGCAACGGTCCTCTGGTATCAGCGTTGCCCCATTCATCCTTTCAGAGCTCCTCTCAGTCGTCAGTCAGATATGCTGCGTACAATGCCAAACTCAACAGAAGAGATGGTGAGTAGAGACAATGCCCCGTGTTCCTAAATGCTTCGGCTGCACGCCACCCACCTGGTGCGGCGGCAGATACCAATGAACATTAACAAAGGAGGCAGCAGACCAGAAAATGTTTTTGTACCGATCATATGGGCGGATTCTGAAGGGCACAAAACAGAAAAGTATTGAATAGCAAAGAAAGAAAGTTATTGTGTTGATTAAAATGAGTCCTGGAGGTGAAAGTATGATCGGCACCGTCACCTCACAGCAACATTTTGAGTTTGTGTGTAAATGAAGACGGACGACGCATCTCTACTTATTGGACACCGACGACACCAAACCTTAGACCTTATATAAAGGTGGACGATGTGTTTTTAAATAAATCAAATAACCATTTAAAAGCAAAGCAACCCGAGGAATGAACGCACACATCTGTCGGATAAGTACGTCCTAAAGTGACTTTCAATCAAGATGTTTCGGCTTCACTTCACTTCACTGTCATGTTGTCCGTCTTAATCCAGTGTGTGGCTCTAACCTCTTTCTTATTCTCACCTGGGTTTCCTCTGGGTACTCTTGTTTTTTTTTTTTTTTACCCACAATCCACAGCAGTGCAGGTTAGATTGATTGCCCGTAGGTGTGAATGTGAGCATGAATGGTTGTTTGTCCCTGCACGTCAGGCCTGTGACAGTCTGGCAGCCTGTTCAGGGTGTAACCTGCCTCTCACCTAACGTCAGCTGGGATTGGCTCCACAAAGGACAAGTGGACGGATGTTAACACATTAAGACCCGAAGGCGCTGAATAAAAACCCCCTCTGGAATCTAAGCGTTCTTTGAAACAACCACCTGGAGCCTGGGTTTGAATCGTCTTTATTTTTATTTTCGTAGTTGATCATGAGTTTTTTGTCTGAAACGCTACTTTAAAAACCTTTTTGCAGGCGAGGAGCTAGCGAACAAACAAACGAACTACAATTCCCATGATGCATTCCACCAAATCGCGATGTATTTCATCCGTCACGTGTCTTAAAAATGATGTCAGAAGCGGCACTGACCCCAGAACAGTGCGAGCGGTCAACTGCCACAGGAAATATAGGACTCATAAAACACAGCTGCTGGTAAACACTGTTTTTACTGTGGCTATTTTCAAATGTCAAATCAATCTCGGGGAAAAGGAAACCGTCTGATTGCTTTGACTTGATTCTAAATTTATTGTGACACCATCAAGATGATGTCTCGTCTCTTTAGTCTCCGTCACTCCTCCGGTACAACTTGTCGCCTTTCAAGTGAGAGGGAGCCGCCGCTGAATAAATAACATTCGACAAGCGCGGCTCCCGAGAGCTTTGGACACACGCTCTGCGCGCCATAAAAACCCAATCAGAGCGACTGTCGCTGAATTCTAACAAGATAATCACCTTCACGTCGTCGAGAAACTGCCCGAAATATTTCTAGCAGGTGCTTTGCCAGAGGCCGTCCAGGTCTCAGAATGAATCAGCCGTTTCAGAAGGACGGAGAAGGTGCTGAACATCATGGCGGCTGGAGTTTAGCTCCACCTTTCATACACAAACACTGACTCTGTACAGAAAAGGACTATAAATTCCTTCCACTCGAGCCCAGAGGCGATGAGCTTAAACCACAGCAATCCACTGTTCATCGACAGGGCGGATGTTTAATGGATCTCTGCTTCCTTCAGGAGCCGGAGGCTGGTCCCCCATGGTGACCGACCAGGAGCCCTGGCTCCAGGTGGACCTCAAGGAGCAGCTGGAGGTGACGGCGGTGGCTACGCAGGGACGTTATGACAGCTGGGACTGGGTCAGCAGTTACCTGCTGCTCTACAGTGACACGGGCCGGGCGTGGAAACAGTACAGGCACGAGGACGGAGTCGGGGTGAGTCCATAAAGACGTTTCACTTGATCCTGCGTAACACTGGTGTCATCATTCAGTTGCTGTTTACGACTGAATCCAAATGGAATCATTTTTAATTTAACTCCTGAAAGAAATGTGTGGAGGTTTTCAGATGTTTGAGAAACAGAGTTTCTTCACAAATATGCTTCTTTGATTTAATGTCCAGAGTTTAACGGAAAGATTTTTGCTATGGAGCTACAGCGAGGAACCAATTAGCCTAGCTTAGCAACTCTGCTTAGCATGTGGCTCACGATCCCTCAAATAACTTGATAAACCTTCATGAGACCAAAGTTCAAAATATGAAAGAACAGATATAAACACCAGAGAAATGCCAAAATATAAATACAGAAAGATAAATATAGAAATAGCAATACTTTTTAAAATTTAATCAATACACCAAAATAGCCAAACTCATGAACACCACACACATTTTTGATCTTGATATTAATTATTTGATTCTGTTATCAGTGTGATGCCTCTCAAAGGTTGTCAAATAATTCTCTGCATATTAAGTTTTAATATTCCGAGTGAAATTAAAAAATGTGATATTATTCAGGCAGAGATTTTAAAAACTGTTTGATTTATTTTGTCGTTCTCGATGTTTTTTCTTAATTAAGCAAATAAATTAATAATAAAAAAAATGACAACACAACTAAAGTTTTTTTTACAGGAAAGTTGGACTCACTGTTTCACCTGCTGACAGAGAGAAGTGACCTCATCAATCTGAAAGTGAATAAGCATATTTCCCAAAAAACTGTTAATGTAAACAAACAACAGCGAGGTCGGGGACTAGTTCACGTGGACTGTGATTGTTTCAGGATTTTTTACGGTTGGACACGGATCATAAAGACTTGACAGTAAGAATTAGATTCTGTCGCATCTTTTTCATGTGCTCCACTTTGTGGAATTTATTGACGGCGTCACAGTTCACTTGATGGATAACATATCCCCTCACCTTTTCAGACATATTTCAAAGTGTGGGGGAAATATCTGGTGTCAACACAGTTGTGATATTGCTTTTTTCTTTTATATCGTTGGTGTAATGTCACAACATGTTATCTCAGCGAGAGCGGTGACTCACAGTCCGAGAAAATAGCCTCATGTCGGCACATGTCACTCTTCCTTTATTGTCTTTGGCCCAGTAACGTCAGAGGCTGCTAACAGGACGTTCAATTGTTTTCCAGCGTGTTTGCTGCTCGACAGTCGAATTAGCCGTGCGTGTTGTTGACGTGTCACTGTTGTAAAGTGTACTTTTAAGTGCTGAGAAGAAAGAGTGCAGATACGTGGGGTAATCATTATGTCTAGTGCTGTGTGATATTTTGAATTATTTATGTTCCTCCGTATTTAAAAATGCATTATCTGATGTAGACCAAAATGTAGGAATTAGATGGAATCAAACATGAGGTTAAATAAGAGGCTTTTAACTCAGAGCCAGTCAGGGTCTCCCTCCACAAACCCTGTGATAATATACTAAGAACAGACTTAAATGTTTCAGTCCCTCTGTAAAGAGATTTAAATCAAATTACACCAAATTAGACAAACTCGAGATCCAGTGAAAATGTTTTTAAGAAAGAAAACAACCTCACAATGTTAAAGACAGGGGGAAAAAATCCTGGATCTACCTCTTTATTTAGATTCGCACCAAAATCGAACGACTTCTTTGCTCCGTCCACGAGTTCCATGATCATAAGTCCGGTAGTTTCTGTGTAATCCTGTTTACAAACCAGCAAACAAACATATTCTCGTCCTCGTCTCAGGGAATTAATCCGCTTTATAATGTCTTCCACCGAAAATCACACTGATTTCTCCTGTTAGAATAATGCAAAACAAAAAGCTCTTTAAATAAGTCTGTGAATTTAAGATGGACAGTTTAGACGTCACGTCCTCGAATGAACCGTTAGATTACAATTAGATTAAATATGAACAACTGTGACTGTAATTAGCGTATTATCAAATGTTAGCATCATAACACATTCATCGAAAGCAATATTCCTTTTTCCTTTGGGAGGTTTCAAATATAAAAACAAATCACGTATGTATAAAAACCTTAACGCGAACATGTTTCATGTGCGTATTTTAGCGTGGGACTAAATCTGGAAAAAACTGTTGCAGATCATTTTGTCGTTTTAGACTTTTAACCAAAAGCAAATGTCTTAATTAAAACAAACAAACACAACTAATATGATGCACAGTCCTTCAAAAATAACTCAAAGAGTGTAAATTGTGAGAGACACGGCTGTGTGTGATATCCAGTGACTGATGAATATTTTTGCGATATGGTGTTAGACAGTTCACAGACTGTTCCACACTCTGTCAGTCCTCATATCATTACTGCATCTCTGCAAAGAGGGAGCAGAGCTGCAGTGCAGTGAGGGGATGAGACGTTCTGTGTCAATACCAACAACGTGACCTGCAGCTATCGCCCTTTTGTGCCTGACTCGGAGAGAGACGAGAGAAAGACGCTGATTTCTTTATTTCAAATATTAAGTGCTGCAGCGCTGCACCAAATCAAAACAGGCAGCGTCCCTGGAAACTTGACGTATTTACCGGAGTGTATTAAAAGCACATTCACACAGAAAATTAAAAGCCCAGTCTTCCCTGTGGTGCGGTACATGTGAACTTGCAATTTAAGATCCTGCAGTTTCTAATGAAACTCAGACCCAGGCTGACTAACTACAGCTTTTACCGAGACCTTTGGCTGAAACTAACCCTCATCCGTCTGGCATTTTAACAAGTGAAGCTCAAAGGTAACGGCTCACTGTCAGACACTGAACTGAAGGGGACTAATGAGAGTGCAGCATCTGCTGATATGACTGTGAGCTCTCAGCCACTCTGTGCGAACACTGAGCCAAATTAGCCCCATAGAAAAATTAGCTGCATAACAAAAAAACTGGGCTGTGGTTCAACACTTCCTCAGCTGCAGCAAAACAAGATGCAACAAACATGTATTTTTTGAAATTTGCTGCATTAAAATACGTTATAATAGGCAGCGTGTTTTAATACGACGTCCGGAGGACGATGCCAAAGCAGGGGTGAGGAACATCTGGCCTCTGGGCTGCATATGGCCCAACACTTTGATCTGCCCTGTGAGACGGGTCATAATTGCCCCCCCCCCCCCAAAAAAAAAAAAATCTCATGACAGCAATCAAATTTTTTCTTTTTTTTTTTGCAATAAACATTAGAATGCAACGCGGTAGAGCGCGCATACCTCTGCCAAGCCCCAACAGTCCCCTTATGAAACCCTATTTAAATTCACCAGAGCCGTGTTTGGATCTGCACCGAGCTGTGCAGACTCATAAAAACATCAGGATCCATCAGTTATTCTCGGAGAAATCAACAAATGGGTTGAAAAACTATTTTTTGAAAGAAAGTGAAGCTGCCTTCCTGGATCGACGCTTTAATCTGGATCTGCACCAACATTTAGAAACCTCCTCCTTGAGTGTGTCACGTCCTTCCACCAGGTTTCCAGGTAATCCATCAGTAACAAACAAATGGACAGGGGTGAGAACATAACCTCTGGAACTGTAAACACGAGAAAAGTATTGGTGGTTACGTGACATGTGGACAAAAGATCCTTTTATTGAGCTGAAAGACAAACAAGTGGTCTCATAGTTTGTTTGCAGCAATGGAAAAGGCTAATCTCCAGGATCATGGAGCTAAACTAAGCGAGTATATGCTGGGATTAAGATAACAATGATACTAATGATCGGTCTTCAGCGTTGTTTGAATCCCCAACATTCAACTTTCACATCCAGTATTGATGCAGAGTTGATCACTGAGACCTGTTGCAGTTGTGGAGCTGCTGAAATCTGAAATTTAAAACTGTTTGAACAAAAAAAAACACAAAAAAAAAACTGCCACGAAATCAGAATATGCAAAGTTTGGTGAAAGGTTTCAGGGCGTGAAAAAAAAACACAAAGAGAACTGAAAACATTTGTTGTTCGCTGCGTCGTGTAAAAAACCAGCTGGTGCGTCTGATTATCTGCAACAAGAAATCATTGATCTGCAAAGAATCAAGCAACGACATCCCTCTGCTCGAGTTTTCCGAAACGCACGTTGGATTTTCTCCATTGTGAAGAGACTCAAGACTCAAGAGACCCAGAGAACAGCAGCATCATGACCATCTGACATCAGACGCCTCGCCGTAGAGAAGCAGCACCAGCGTCTGCATTATAGAAGTCGGTGTGATATATGTGCTCAATAATTCAGTACGGCCCTCAGAGGATGTTGTATTAATGTAAATGGCTCTTGATAGGAAAAAGGTTCCCCCGCCCCTCAGCTAACTGTTTGTTTCTCCTCCTCGGTGCATGACTAACCTTCTGTTTAATAGTTCATCAGATTTGTTGTGAGCAAAGTTGAAACTTTGGCCAATTGTTGATGGTGAAGCAAAGCTCTTGAGAAATAATCAATCCTGCTCTCAAATGAAGCGTTGGAGGAAAATTACCGACCCACTGACAACATCATCCTCAGGCTTCACCACTGGCTGTACAAACAAGAATTAACAGTGGAAGTAAAAGCCTTTGCATGGTGAACACACTCTGTGTTTGCGGAACTCGATTCGAAACTAGCAAAACATTTCATCCCAGGCCAAAACAATTACCAAAAGACCGCTGCTCGAGCCCGACCGCAACCCGACAGGTGACGTTTCACCCGAGGCACGAGAAGTACAAAAAAAACATCGAGTAGAGAGACCAGCAGCCAAAAGACCGAACCAAAACCCGAACATCTTCAGAATTCTTTCTTCAAACCCTGCACAACTGTTTTGTATTTCCTGTTAACGCTATGTACACACTGTTTCTCCCTTTGTTCAACTTCGCTTCACCTCAGTAACAGTGTTGACGTAACCACCCGTCTGTGGGAGTGTTCTGAGCAAAGCCTCGTTAGAGAAACATGTGAACAGAACGGCACTGCTTTACAAGCTGATAATAACCTAATTAGTGAAAACCAGGGGAGAAATTCTGTGAAAATTACTTTAGTCTGCGGGAGCTTTGATGAGATGAAGTGTGTACTTTTACCACGTCGCGTTCTGTTAAACACAAAGAGTGACTGACATGAAAGACTTCCGCTTGAATGCCTTTCCTTACGAGGAAAAATAGGCTAAGTACCTGATGATACCTTTAAAGCAAACTCTAAAATAAAAAAAAAAGAAAAGGGAGAGCTGCTGTTAATCTAACTCCTCGTTTCATATATTCACTCTTCTTCATGGTAAATTAGCAGGATGATCTTTGCAAAAACTCATCGGTGGGAAGAGGGATGTGATCGAGCAGTGGAGGCACATTAACGTCATTATCCTTGGAAAGTCTTATTTTGAAATCTCTTCAGAATGTGGCTGTGAATTTATGCGGAAAACAAAATCTCCTCTTTAATGGGGGGGGGTTAAACATTCATAGTGGTTCTCGTCGGCTGCTTTGTGTGTGCACGATTAGCCTTGCGTGCTGAAAGTGCTGAGAATGTTGTGCAGCCTGGTCTAAAATCATTATTCATGAATTATACGTTATGGTGTTTTTAGCCATGTTGCTCCGCAGATGTCAATCTAATTGTTTCGCCTTTAAATCCAGAAAACTGTTTGCAATTCAAATTTTTTTAACTGACATTCAGGGTCCCCAGAGAATGAACCATCAGTGAACCCCTGAATTCTCATCTGGTGTTACCTTCGTTGCTTCACCTCCGCTTTTGTGCAGCTGAGAATGAGGCTTTCAAATAAGCTCTAACTACCTTAAGGCCTCTGCTTTGAGGAGTAGGAGCATTAGCATAGCTAGCGGGTGTTGATTCATTTAAACTCAAATATTCATCTGGTTTCAGTAACAGTGAATAAATCAAATTGCAGATCAGTTATCTTCTTCTTCTTTGTTCGGTTTATTGGCGGGGGGGGNGGGGGGGGGGGGGGGGGGGGGCAACCAACGTCAATATATAACCTAAGAGGGCACATCACATACCCAGCCTTATATAATCGTAAGGCTATACCACTGCTAAGTAGCCAATTAGCTGATGTTAGCACATTAATCTAAGGCTTTAAACATGGTGATTATGACACCCAATGCACATTAGCATGTTAAAATTATCCATGAGACAATCGAGTGCAGAGGACAGAGGACACATCGGGCTCCAGACGTCTTCAAGCTAGGATAGTGAAGACGTCTTGGAGACCTGACTGGTCCTCGTCACGGGAGCTTTTCACTCACGGCCAGAGGTGTAATGGTAAACATCTGGTTCCCAAGGTAACCGCTGTTCCTCCGGCGGCACTTTATACGGTTAACTGAGCACATGATCAAATGTGAGACTTTATGAATTCATAGTTTCATGAGTAGTAATAGGATGCATCCAGAAACATCTCTTCTCAAAGAGTTATGCTCTATTTTACCGTCACTGCACACGTGAAGAATTCCGTCCATTAGAGGGCAGCGCAGCACGATCTCCTCTCAGCTGCTCTGCACTAACTACCTCTTTCCTCAAGTCAAGTAAAGTTATAAAGATTTTTGTTGTTTCTTCGAAACTCGCAAAGTCATCATTAAAAACGTCTTCCTCTCGTCCCGTGGTCGTCTCGCTCGAACTATCGGCCGCGCTGCTCCCCACGATCTCCGTCGGTTCTGCTCTGCAGAGTCAGTTCTGTCCATTTCATTTTTCAGAAAACATGCACAAATTAACACAGAGCACCGGCCAAACACAGATCTGAGCCTCAAGGACAAGTTGCAGCGCAGGCATAAGCTCATCTAATAGGCTGGGCTGTTAAAACTTTAATTTCCAGCAGACATTACAGATGGAGCAGGAGTCAGATTATTTCACAGGCTCGTTAAGGCTTCTTTGCAAATCCATCACAAATAAAGAAATCACGATGAATCAAAAGATGTTTTGCTGCATTTTCATGTCTCACAGTTAAAAAAAAAAAAAAAAGTTCATACACGGGCAGCAACCGCCGACTTTAAAGGTGGAACGTTTCCATGCATGCAACCCAATCTACGGGATGATGTTGTGAATCAATCGATACCCCATAAATGGCAATGCTGCCACTTTGACCATTGCATTTGTTGACTATCTGGACTGAGATCTGCTCAGTGATGATTGGATCTTCAAGCAGTGAAATGCGTTTGAATTTCAACCGGATAATGGGAACTGGGGATATTCCATTTCCTCACACGGGGGAATCATTGTTCCGGTGCATCTGAAGGCGCTGCACCTCCGCTCGTGCTAAGGTCGCGTGCTCTTCGCTGTGTGTTGTCTGCGGCTGTGTAACTGGACAGTGGCCTCATGGAAAATGCTGCATTGTATTCATTGCCTGCAGCATGATTTATCCCCCAGTGCATTGATTAAAATAAACTTATGTGCCTGAGCTGAACGCAACATAAAGGAAAAGTGACACGGGGGAGCTCATCACTGGAGAGGAAGAGTAAAGAGTCTTAATGAACAGGGAGGGACACTGTTCCACAGTGACAGAAACATAAATAGAAATAATGAAGTCACTGTGGGGTTAGGATTGTTTATGCGGATAAGGACCAGCCGCCGTCCTCTGGCCCCCTGGAAAACCCTCTGCGCCCTGAGGCCTTTATCCGGAGACTTCGCCTCGTCTCCAGCCGGAAACACACAGGATGTTCCATTGTAAGTTTTTCCAGAGAGGAGAGAACGTCATACGGCTCGGGACGGGCTCAGTGGTGCTGCTGTTGACTACTAATGACTCATGCTGATGTGTGTGAGTGTTGTTGGTTAATGACTTGTTAGAATGATTGCTCTGCAGTCTCAGAGTTCATTTGGTCCATTAGTTTTTTTTCCAGTAGTTCAACTGGGAGTTCAAGTGTAAAGATTGAGTCTAATGGCGAGAACAGTTTCTCAGCTGTGTATCAAACTTTCAGCTCAGAGTCTGAAAGTGTCCTATTCAAAGAAAAACAAATTATAATTATTATATGCGGTGTCTTCCTATGAGCAGGTTTTTCTCAAAAACATTTCTGGTTATTTCTCAAGAGATTTTTTATTCTCCTGGGATTCTTCTGTAATTGCTTTTCACTGTTCTCCAAAGCAATATCCTGTACGGGTTAATTTTTACAAACTATGCACCCGTCAGCACCCACAAAACCTATTAAACCCACATGCTGCATTCACAGTCATGTACATCAAGCCTGTACACAAGAATGAATATAAATGAATGTTATTTACGGACTTCAATCCAGAATCGTCAACACTTTGAAGCTTAATTGCTCATATTGCCGACACAAGTCACATGGAACCACACCAACAGAGTCCTGACGAAGAGGACCATCCTGATTTGAACTGTTTTTGATGAATAAATCATTCCTTCAGAGTATTTGTCCCCCTGACCTTTAATTTCACTTATGAATATTTCATATAATTATGCTGTTAAGAAATACTTGAGCTTAGCCGCCACAGTCTCAGGTGCCTTTAATTAAAGCTTTTGAATGCACAACAATCAAATAGCCTCAGTGCAGTGTGTCTGACATGAAGCCTGGAGGTAACAAGGTGTTGGCTGCAGCCCACAGCAGCATGTTTTCATCGACCTGATTCTCAATAAAACACTAATAACTACAGTATTTTCAATTTTCTGGCCAAAGGGTGTTTCCAATTCCTCAGTGCTGTGAATATTTAAGGCTTTTTTTGGGAAGCTGGCACATTTCTCTTTCTTTATTCGCTGTAATCGCAGCTTGTAGTGCCACAGTAATACATTTTCCTCAACCACACGTGTAAGTCCCAGCGCCATTTGTTAATCCCTCCTGTGAATTTTTCTTTGCATGTATAAATTAGCCTAGCTTGTTCATGTTTTAAGACCCCAGCCACCAGGCTCCGCTCGGTAAATGGCTCAAAATGGAAAAGTGGTGGCATAAATCACAATAACAGTCTTAACAGTCGCACCGTTGCCTTGATTATCAACCAAGAAGCAGCATCCCGGTGCATTTAACGAAGCCTCTGCTTTGCTGCGTTCCACAAGCATCGTGTGGTCATTCGTGCTGCCGGTCATTGTGTTTCCGTTGTTGCGGGAAGCTGAAATATTGGACTTCTCTGACTGTGCTGAAGTATTCAGTAAAGCCCGGAGCTCCACTGTCAATGATGTATCTCCTTTTTTCTCTATAGTACGAGTACCTATTGATCTGATATGTCACCTGCCTAGAATGGGTTATGAGGAGGATGGTAATCAGTCATTCAGCAGAGGTTGCTTGTCTCTGTTTCTGTGTCCATCCGTCATCCGCTCTCTGTTTCTCTATTCATGTCCCCTGGTGTTATTCCGTGCAGACTGAAAGTAGAGGACGGGTGGAAGAGAAGAAAGAAGAATGACATCGCGCAAGCACTCAGAGGTTTTTTGTTTTTAGCTCTGCAGGGAGAAAACACAATACGACAGCTCTTATTTTGCCCCCCGGCTTCCTCAGTGGTCATTTTTCCTCCGTCTCACATTGACCTGTTTGAGCAGAGTCTCATATTTCTACACCACATGATGATTCTTATCACTTTACATTATATAGTATGTTCAAGGATAGAAGGAAGACGCTGCCCTTGGCTCAGTCTTGTCAGCACTTTTTTGTTGCCTGTGCTATTCAAGGATTCAGATTTTCATACTGCTTGATTTTCAGGTATTCTCTGGTGAAAATCTTAGCGTCATTTGCAGTCAATCAGTTTTATGCTGTCATTACGAACGCTCCCTGTCTCCGTCTCTCTGCAGAGGTTTGTCGGGAATGTGAATTCGGAGGCCGTGGTCCAGAACAAGCTGTCCCACCCTGTGAGGACACGTTTCCTGCGCTTCGTCCCTCTCGACTGGAACCCCAGCGGTTGGATGGGCCTCAGAGTGGAGGTGTACGGCTGCTCCTACAGTGAGTAGCACACACTCTGCTATCAACACCACACCGAGAATGCACTCAGTCTATACATCAAACCTGTGTAATCACTACCACCTAGAAGGATTCGTTCATTTACAGCGTACCTGCAGCTCTGCAGCTGCCCTCCTGATCGAGAGCGATGGGCACTATTTTCTCGACACCTGCTTTTAACATGCTGTTTGGTGCCGCGGACCAGCAGTGAAAATGATTAATCGAAAGGCAGCCAGCGTGGGCAGCTCACATGATCTCCTCACACTCCCAGAATAAAGCTGTAAATGAAACGCATCTCGATAGCGGCTCCAGACAAACGTTGAAACATCTGGTGACGCTCTTGTTAGGAGTTGTGATCGAAATGCAAAGGCAATTAAATTCAGCGTCTCTTTTTCAAGGCAAAGGTGGATTTCATTTTGAACGTGCAGAACAAACACTTTCACATTGTTTATGCTCTGTCAGTTTTCTGTTTTTCTTACAATGTGTGTGTGTGTGTGTGTGACGGGTCTGTGTGAGGTTTAGATAGCAGATAACCTGTTGTTTTATAGCTACAGCAAACAAACCCAGGAGTGTGCTCAGATAAATGTTGCTGCAAATGACAGGCTGATGTGGAAGAAACATAGAAACACGGAAAAATGCAGGCTCAGTGTTAATGCCTGCACGAGCTTAGTCAGTGAGTCTTTAAGGAGTTGCTCCTGTACACTAGAAGAGAGCTAATTGATGTGCCAATGTGAAATGTGTTTTTATGAATGTTAATAATATGAAAATAGAACATAACAAAATGAATGAGAGGCAGTTTTTGTGCATAAACACTTCATACAGCTTTCTACCGCTGTTTTCATTCAGTGTCTGCAGAATGGAAATCTTCACACATTGTCACAAGGTGTTTAGCCTTAGCGCTAAGTGCTAACCTATATTAACACCAGTGGCTAAAAGGAGCTTCTTCTGTTTCATCTGCAGCAGTTTGTTACCGGGTGAAACAAGAAGGAAGTGGATGGTAGAGCTACTATACAACCAGCTGGATGTGTTGGTTGTATAACTTTATTTTCCTGTATCGACATGCTGCGATATGAATTCTCTTCTTCTTCGTGAGCGTTTTATAAATGTTTGAGCTGAGGTTTTGTTTCAGGGACAAACGAAACAAGAAACTAGTTGTTTGGATTTATTTATTGAGGGGTCACTCTTGCATTATGACCATATTTAGTTATAGGTTTGTAAACTGATGGAAATAAAAGGATAATGTGAGATTTTAAGGGTTTAAATCCGGATAACCTGCTTTCAGAGTCAGTTTGGACTCAGTCACGGAGTCATTGCTCTGCCATGGCAGAAAACGTGTCCTATATACTGGACACAAAAAAAGACACAGGAGTGAGTAAGACTCCTCATGAAGTCCAGTGGTTCCAGCTTTGAGCTGGTGTCAGTGGACGCTTGTTGGAACATGTAACACGCAGCAAACCTGCCGCACAGACACAAGTACAGGAGACAGGAAGTGTCACACCTGGGAGGAAATGTGAAAATTACCGTTCGGGGTGTTCGGCCTGTGATGACGCATGTCGACACCACTGGAGTGTGGGCGTCCATAGAGAACGATGATGCTCCACAAGGATTCAAACTGAGTCAAACTCATCATCACATGATTTTCACAGTTTATTTCTGGCTTTGACTAAAAACTGAAGCTAAAATACAAGAGTTCATGAGTTGTGAGAGATAGCAAAGGTTTTGTTTTTAATCATATATATATATATATGATCAAGTTAGCATGT